GGCAGGACTGATGTCACGGGCCCCTTCCCTGTCCTACTCGATGTCACTGGAGCTACAAACCAAAGCTGAAGCTGGGCAGGTGGCTCCAGCCACAGAGCCAGCTGCAGCACTGGGCAGAATTTGGCACAAGGATCAGCACCGGCCCTGGGTATGGCCAGGGATTTTTTCAGACTCCTGTTGCTGAGGAGGAAATTTCCTGCAGGACAATTTGCAAACTCCCATTTGCAAAGTAATTTGAAGGACAAATAGAAAAAAAGTCCTTGGTGGTGAAAATCAGGGCACTGGCTTGGTATGAGTGGGGAAGCTGGGCCTCTTACAGTGCATCTGGCATGGATGAGATGAGAAAAGCTTAATTAAGTACAAAGAGACAGTATCTGTAGTTTTGTTTGTTTATTAATATTGCCAATTAAAACCTGTATGTCTGTTCAGGAGGTTTTGGATACATATTTTAAAGGGAGTCAACAGCTCACAAATTACAATCAGAGCATGAGACTTCTGATTATTTTTCTATTTAGAACATAGATACTCAAAATGTATGCGACATAGATATTATCCATTGATGTTTATTTAACCTGCCCCCACCAACCACCCTGGTCTTCAGCATTCTTCAGTTTTATTTCTAGTTTGCTTCTGTCTTTGTGCAATTCAGGTTTATACATCTCAAGGTTTAGACTGCTATCGTAAGGCAACTTCAATGTGAGTACTACTCATCACATATGGTACACTTCTACAACAACAAAACAGCCATGAGCAGAATCTTGTATGTAAAGGCAATAAAAAATTAAAAATTTAATAATTATAATGCAGTTCAGAGTATAATATATTACCAGTACTTTCATAAATACATATATTTTCATTATTTCACCATTACTAATAAAATATATTTAAAATCTGTCATTAAGAATGTAAGTACTCTACTCTACTAGTTGAAAAAAAAAAAAAATTGAGGTTCCTGAAAGTAAAAGTCGGGTTTTTTTCCCTCCTTCTTTAATAGCCGCAGTCTTCCTTGAGATGTGGATATTCTACTACAGTTCAGTTCTGGGATTTTGTAATTATTTTTAATATCAAACAGTATTCATCAGCACAGACTGTATTAGCTTTTGCACACAGGGCACAATAAATCCAGGTTGACATTAACTATTCATAAATATTTCTCACTTACAGATACATTGCAAAGCTACAGAACAGAAACAGCAGTTATGATCTTCTTTCAAAATGTTCCTTTCAATGTTCTTCTTGAATTGATTACATAGCCCGTATTTCCTTTTCAGATGACCTAATGTTAATAGTCTAAGAAGGAATTATCACATGGAGAAAAGAGGGTATGAGAGACTTCACTAGTTACATATTTGAATTATCCTACAGAAAAAACAGAATTGTGAAGTTCAGGTTTCTGTACTGGGCTAGCCATGGGGAAATGTAATTCCATGGGTCTCATCACTGCTGTTTATTAGACAGATTTACTTACATCACTTCTTTAAAAAAAACAAAACAAAAATTAACTTTTGCTCCATATATATTTTAAATTAGCCTTTATCTTAAATTTTAAATTCTTTGCCAGCAGGAGTTTTTGTATCTGGACAACAGCCACTTCTAAAACTGATATCCAGATACTGAAAAATATTTAACTGACTGTCAGTTTTGGCAGTATTTTCCCACAAATGTCTAAAGGGATCTATGTCTAATTCTGGGCTGTTGGGGTCATTTCACCTCCTAGGTTTGAGCGTGCATCCTGCCTGCATCCCAGTTTTACAGCAGTTTGAGGCTCACACAGGCAGGCATCATTCATCTCTGCCCTGGTTTCCATGGAGCAGATTTCCAGCAGAATCTTCTTATGTTCAGTTCAGTGGTGCCTTACCTTATGCCTTTCTTTTCCAATACTTATTAATCAGATTTTTAATTTCAATTATAGTCACCTAAGTCTAAAGCAGCTCAATTTAATTTCAGTGGAATTATCCTGGATTTACTCTGTGATAGCTTTGATCCAAATCTGATCTCTTTTTTTTTTTTTTTTTTTTCCTGGACAGACTTGGTTATATATTTCACATACAAAATATTGGTCTGTCTCACAGAGAAGCTGTAATTCTTTGGCTACAAGATTCTAGAGTTTTCATAATGTAAAAGTTGTAAAATTGTATCAGTGTGGAAGATATGTGTTATGGATGAACATTGTTTTCCACATAATGAGATCCGAATAAAGTTGTTTAAAAATAATAGTAATAGAAAAAGGGAACAACTGCCAGCATTTTCCACTCTTCAGTCTACCAACCTATTGCATTGTGCAACCACAGAAAAGCTAAATTTCACATTGGTTCTGCTGAAGAGAATGACACTATCACAATTTCTGACACTGTAGCTGACAGTAGTGTCTTGTGTCAGTCACCTGCTCAAATATTACTGTGTTTCACCAAATTCATTGGTTATCCCTTTCTTC